AGGCCTTTCGGGCGTAAAAGGCTTTTTGAACAAATTCAACCAGAGAAAACGTCCCGTTATATGCAACTAGTTCCCTACCACACATTAGGATTATGCGCGGCGCAGGTTATTCAGTCATCTCTCACTTTCTACCTGATACTGCCGGGTGATTCATCTCTTCCTCCTTGAGTTAGCTCCTCGGTCAGGCGTGTCATGGGAATAGAGGGGAATATGCTGCAGCGTGAATGACAAATAAGGACGGCCCATTTGTGTGAATTGTGCGTGACTCAATTCAGCAAAAGCTTTTTCCAACATCGTTCTGTTCATCATTTTGGTGGCAGTGAGTGTGCATCCATCCTACAGTGTCAGCGAGACTGACAAAAAGTGCGTACATGCGCATGTGTAGTGTTCATCCTCCATCGATACTCATGCAGCTTTCTCCCGCTCCCGTTTCCGATCGGTGCACATACGCGGACACTGGCGTTCTAAATCAGGGGCTCGTTTTCAGTTCTATGCTCATTATACTCCGTCGTCTTTGTAGCCAAGAGGTATTTGGTGTTATACTTATTCTGGGGTTTTGCCAACCGGCGATGATTAGGTTATTCTTGTTTCATACTGGCGGATGTGGTGTAGTTATGCGGGTTATTTATATGTTCAGCGATCTATCGGCACGATTTCCGTTTACTGGAATAGTGGTTCGGTCTGTGTCTTGGACAGTGGTTATTTCACAGGGGTGCAACAGTTGCGAGATTTGACTGCTTTTAAATGACACTCACCGACACTGGTATTCCGAATGCTTTGAAAGACTTTATTACAAAAGCTCTATATTCGGTTGATTTTTGCTGTGGGTGATTTTTATTCCAGTTTGTTTCGTGAAATTTTCTTTGATCTTGTAATCTGTTAACGTACCCTAACTAATTCCCCAGGTCAAAGAACTGGCCACTCTGTCGCTGAAAGATCCGGTACAAGTGTTCCTGAATCAGGCCACCGCGGTCGCCACACGTCTACAACAGGAATTCGTGCGAGTTCGAGCTCATCGTGAGGAGGACAGACTAGCCATGCTCGTTGCTCTCTTGGTTCGCACGTTCAATCGCCGCACAATTGTGTTTCTCCCGACCAAAAAGGATTGTCATCGCGTGCATGTACTGCTAAGTCTCTTGGGTCTTTCTTGTTCCGAGTTGCATGGTGATATGACACAGGCTCAACGACTAGATGCGCTTCGGCGCTTTTCTGAGGTCCCGACCGAGCAGACAAAATCGGATGCGAATAGTACCGAACAGACCTGTTCTAACGAGGCACCGCGAGTGGAAATACTGTTAGCTACCGATTTGGCCGCCCGTGGTCTGGACATACCGGATGTTCAAACAGTTAGTCAACTATTTTGTTAATTTTTCCATTTCTATCCTGCGTCTACACTATCATGGCACGAGCCCTGCCAATTACAGCAATCCTCTAATTGCAGGGTTGCAAGCTTTCCTTGCTGAGTCATTTGTTGGCGTTTTGTGAATAATGACGTTCTGTATATGGAAGACGAATTATGACAAAGGACGGACCGTTTACCTTAATTTAAAAGGTCACTTTTTCCTCGTCCTTAATACTACCGTTGTTAATAAACCTAAAATCTGTCTTTGATTGTTATTTCGACAGCCCTTAGCTACTTTCACTTTTTAGATGCAATATTGTTATTTATCAAGTCAAGTCAAGTCAAGAACAGCTTTATGCACCCAAAAGGGTTTTATCGTACAAAAAATTATTCCGGTTCATAATCGTACCTGTACAGATCATATAAGATACACATTGTCACGCTATACAGGCACGATGATGAATCATGGACAACAACTGTTCGCTTTCGGACTTGGGTTCTAATGTTACAATGGGTTTATTCTGGAATTATTCCGATTCGTCTCGGTACTTCCACCCATCATGAAGACCACTGAGCGAACATTCTAAGGGATTTATGGAGAAGTGAAATGATTACGGGTGAAGAGTTAAGGAGTCGAAATCTGATGTCATCAAATCGAGAACAAGATTTATACATTGCATGTCAATATTCTGTGGGTTGAAGTAGAAACAGAAAGTAGTCTTCGCTAGAAATCGGGGTTCTTATTGTTACCGAAAGAGGAGTGAATACTTTCCAACCACAATGTTCTATTCGAGGTTTACATTTGTGAGAAACTGTCAAACATCGTCCACACTCGTTGAAACAAAACAAACACTTATCCGTGTGAATGAAGACCTCAACGATTATAAGCAACTTCTCATCCAACTATGGAGCCATAAAATGCATGGATGGATCACAGTGAACCACAGCTACTGAAACAATCTGCGACAAAATTGGACAGGCTACTGACAATAGAGAACAACGGCTTGACCGGTGGTCGGAGTACTTCAGCGAACAGCTTAACTGACCAGGCGCTAACCAAGCTATCTCGTTTTTTGTAGTTGAGGCTCTGTGGACCTCCTATTGTAGCGGCAGTACGGTCTTGCAAACCCTGAAGAAAGGAAAAGCAGCAGGACCTGACGGGCGATTACCTCGTAGACTCCATTACTGATTTAATGCACAACATCTGGTCACGAGAGCGCATTCCATCACCCGGGATTGAATCACAAATCGTTTTCAAGAAGGAATTTTGCAACGACTGTGCAAACGAACGAGAGATAATTTTGATCCAACTGGTCACCAAATCATTAGCCTCCGTCATACTTTGACTTCTAACTCGTTCCACGGAGACAAATATCTGCGAACAACAAGCAGACCATGGCAGAACACCGACAGCAGTGACGATCTTGCTGTTACTTCCGATCAATTCGTAATGCTTGAAAATGTGTGTATGCATAGTTGAACCGTGTATTCCGTGCTTTGACCATAAAAGTGCGCTTTATTTTCCCATCCGCAAAAGTAGGATAAATCCCTATCCTCTTTACTCATTCTTCCTCACTCTCTATACATTGCGAGTTTGACAGCGATCAGTAAAGTTCGCTTCACGCTAGGGCTCTATACGATGATGATGAATGAATCAAAGAGGAATGGGTTATCAGGCAGCGAATAAAAAGAAAAGAGAATGTAGAAATCACTTAGAATTGTTTTGATGGAAACTTAGTAACATTGTCCAGTTGAGGATCCGTTACCATTCGAATAACGCTAGAAGATAATTTTCAACTTGACACATCACTGAATTTGAAATATGCAATCCTTGGCGTTTCTCCCCGGTTTATCAATTATTTCGGTCAATTCGCATTCAATCATAGACACATAAATGCGTCCCACTGATCTGGAATCCATCACGCACACATGTTTGTGTGAATTAGTGAATAGAGGATACTACTGTTTCCCCTGGTTATTCAGCTATCAAAGTCTAAGTTTCATTATGAGTAATACTTACAAGCTCATGCGTCTCTCGTCTCCATAGGATATTTACACAGTCGAATCGTTTATCGGCGAAAGAAATGATCAAGCGTCACATCGAGTTCCGGGTAAGAGATAACAGATGATTTAGACTTCAGTGTGTTTGCGTTTATTTTTTTTTTGGTTGTGTAAGAATGTGACGCGTACTAGGGTTTCATCGAGTCTCCGCTTGAAAGATTCAATAGTTGGTGCACAAACGACGTACTGCGTACTCTGACTGTAGAAGATTGGCGCCGGCATTCCAGTCGACACTTTGGAATCAGGAAGTTGAAACAATGTCCCTGTAAGTTTTTATTGTTGGACAACGTGAGCAGCGGCCGAAATGGATGGTTTGGGTTCTGCAGTATTTGATACGTGAAAATGAAGTATCCC